TGAGCAGGGAGCCCGATGCGGGGCTCGATCCCAGGACCCTGGGATCATGACCCGAGCCGAAGGCAGACGCCTAACGACTGAGCCACCCAGTTGCCCCTTTAGTTGGATCTTGAAGGAATAGGAAATAATGGGAAGACATCCTAGGCTTTGATATTATCATCATCAAAGGCAGAACGATAAAAATGTACAGCAAATTAGAGACCTTTCAACACAGCAGGAGAGCCATAAAGTGAAGTATGTGGGCAGGTACCAGCTGGAAGAGTTCAGAAAGTAGTTTAAGCCCAAATCACTGAGGGCTTTAAATATCATGCTAAGGAATGTTGACTGAATCCTGAAGGCAACGGCAAATGCTGACAAGGCTGGGAAAGAGAATGAATTGAGAAGTCTGCCATCTGGAAACGCAACTACGTGAAGGAATGGATGGAGGCTTCGGTGACTAAAAAGGTGGCAGATGAGGTTCTGAAAGGGGGACATGACTGTACATGTGAAAAGATGTTTCAGAGAAAGCGGCAATAAAACTGCTCGACCAAGAAAAGTGTCTTTCCTTCATACGTGCAACTCTATTTTCACCACCCACAGCTCCATCCAGGCCTCCACCAACTCTTTCTTGAAACCACTCAACAACTTGCTGACTGGCCTGCCTGCTAGAAGGGTTTTCTTGAAATGTAAATCAGAATGAAACTCTCCTGGAGAAACCTTTACAAGCTTCCCATTGTAATCCCAGTAAAACCCCAGCTCAATGCCTTGGCCTATAAGGCTGGGGGACATAGTCCTCCCACCCACCCCTCTCCCACCTCAGAGCCCCTCACTCACCCAGCCACTCTTGCCTTTCAACCTCTTGAACACCCCCAGGTTCTGGCCCATCTCTGGGCATTCCACTTGCTGTGGCTTCTGCCTGAAATCCTCTTCCCCAGATCCCTGCACCACTGGCTCCTTCTTATGCTTCAGGTTCAAGAGGAAAAGGACTGAGAAGGACTTTTTCTAACCATCTCATCTAAACGAGGACTCTCCTTAGTATCCTCTGCTGCCCCACCCTGTTCACAGCATGAATCTCAGTAGAGCATTTTTATTTTTTTTAAGATTTTATTTGAGAGAGAGAGAGAGAAAGTGAGCAGGAGCAGGGGGAGGGGCAGAGAGAGAAGCAGACTCCCTGCTTAGTGGGGAGCCCGATGTGGGGCTCGATCCCAAGACCCTGGGATCATGACCTGAGCCGAAGGCAGATGCTTAACGACTAAGCCACCAGGCACCCCTCAGTAGAGCATTTTTAAACTCTCTTGTTACTGCCTCCTCAATCATGAGACCATGCTGTTCATAGTTACAGCCCCGGCCCCAAGCAAAACATCTGGCACTCAGTAGTCACCCCGTAACTATATATAAAATGAATACATTAACAGGAATCAGCCATGAGTATGTGTGGGGTAAGGGAAATAAAAGAAAAAAATGAACTCCAATGTTCAGAATTTGTACAGCCAGGGGAAGAGGCATAGTGTGATTAAAGAGAAAGGGACAAGTAAAGGCAGAAAGTCCTTGGACAATGACACACATATCACAGGTGCCACAAGACATCCATGTGGGTGCTGCCAAACAAGAATCAGAAAAAAAACCTATGACAACAGAAACTTCAAGGTAAACTATCTTTTCTGCAAAAACAACTTGTAGGATGTCCTCTGATTTGTGAGTTAGGGAAGTTGGACAGCAGGATAATTACATACCAGATTTTCTATAGAGAGCTGAAACTGTTTAATTTCACGAAGGGTCTCATTATCTCTTTTCACTTCATTCACATATTGTGCCAAGTCCTAAAGAATAAAGAGAAGGGTACAAAAAGAAGTCATGATAAGACTGGAGAAGAGATGAAAACTGTTTGAAAGAAAACACATCATTAATTTCATTAGCAGTAAAAGTAATCACCATAACTTTTCAATGACAATAAGATGAACATCCAATCAATCAAAGCTGCAACTCAAAAGCAATTTTAAAATGTCTGGAGTACAGCTGGGAAGACTAAAGAGTTGTCATTTACCACACCTCTGAGAAGAGCAAGGATTAAAAAAAAAAAAAAAAAAAAATCTGCCACCCTGCAGAACAAGAGGAAACTAGGTCAGGAGAATGCAAATTCCAAACACGTTAATAACTGACCTTGGGAGAATCACATTCTTACACGGGTTAGAATAAGGTCAATAATGCAATAATGAAGGATTAGCAGGGAGAAAAAAGGTAACTAAAAGTTAGACAATGGGTCCAGCAGGACTGTTTTCTGCAACCAGTTGGTGTCTTAGTTCCTGAGAGCTTTCAGTCAAGCCAGCCAGTTCAATTTTAAAGAGTTAATGAAGGAGAAGCAAAGAAGAGGAGAAAAACCTCAGAGCACTAAAACGAATTAAAAGCGAACAAACAATGCTAGACACGTTTCTCTACGTGCCTTCTTCCCCTACTTTAAAATGTCTTTTCTCGTATTTGAGGAAACATTAGCTAATCTTTCCATACTGTAAGTAGCTATTTTTATTATATGTGCTCTAGATTTTCCTGTTTTCTGGGTTTTCTTTTTTTCTCCACCCTCTTAAATTCATCTGCAACAGCAGGAACAGAACTCGGACAAAAAGCAGTTCCTAACTTTGTTCTAAATGAAAGTCTGACTTTTCATCGGATGTATCTATAAATGATTTTTTTTTTAAATTTGGAAACTTGGTATGACTTTGGAAAAGAGTAACAAATAATTGTGTGATGGTTCTTGGCAGGCTACTGAAATCAGCTAAACAGCAGAGCCAGCACTGACCCTGGCACAGGGACGCAGAGAAGCCTTTAACCTTGTTCTGAGTACAGTCACATTGGTGTTTTGTTTTGAGAACAAATGTTTGCTTATATTTTAAGTTAGGGGCAAATAAATATTCCTTTCATAGTCAACGTGCAGCACAATGTAGAAATTGGGGTGTTACAGGTTGCCCAATATGTTTAAAACCCTGCCTTTATCTACTTGTAGCTCTTGATTTTCAGATTTACCTAAAAATAGAAATAGTTTTCACCCAAACTGAAATCCACATGTGCTGATGCACAGCATCCACGAAGGCCAACCTGGCAGACAGCCTCACTTGAAAATAATTAACACCAGTGTTCTGAGGTCACCAGCTGACCTGCTACTTACACAAGCCAACAGTTTTCTTTTTCTTTCTTTCTTTCTTTAATTATGTTATGTTAATCACCATACATTACATCATTAGTTTTTGATGTAGTGTTCCATGATTCATTGTTTGTGTATAACACCCAGTGCTCCATGCAGTACGTGCCCTCTTTAATACCCATCACCAGGCTAACCCATTGCCCCCCCCCAGAACCCTCAGTTTGTTTCTCAGAGTCCATAGTCTCTCATGGTTCGTCTCCCCCCGATTTCCCCTTCATTCTTCCCTTCCTGCTTTTATTTTTTTTAACATATATTATTTGTTTCAGAGGTACAGGTCTGTGATTCAACAGTCTTACACAATTCATAGCGCTCACCATAGCACATACCCTCCCCAATGTCTATCACCCAGCCACCCCATCCCTCCCACCCCCACCATTCCAGCAACCGTCAGTTTGTTTCCTGAGATTAAGAATTCCTCATATCTGTGAAGTCATATGATACATGTCTTTCTCTGAATGACTTATTTCGCTCAGCATAATACCGTCCAGTTCCATCCACGTCGTTGCAAATAAGCCAACAGTTTTCTATTAGTAACCACAAAAAGAATGTGAAATAAAACCATTATATTAAATCATTCCCGGTGGTTATAAAAGTTGTCATACTTTCATAAGTAACAAAAGTTATTTTAATACACCTCTTGGTTTTATGTATCTTTGTCTACCAATTAAATCCATGCAAGGATATCTATTTCAGTTAAGAATATCCAGTTCTCTGGGGGCGCCTGGGTGGCTCCGTCAGTTAAGCACTTGCCTTCGGCTCCAGCTCAGGTCATGAGTCCAGGGTCCTGGGATCAAGCCCTGCAAATGGCTCCCTGCTCAGTGAGGAGCCTGCTTCTCCCTCTCTCTCTGCTGTTCCCCCTGCTTGTGCTTTCCTCTCCCTCTCTTCCTCTCAAATAAATAAAATCTTAAATATATATATATATATATATCTAGTTCTCTGGGGTACCTGGGTGGCTCAGTCAATTAAGCGTTCTACTCTTGATTTTGGCTCAGGTCATGATCTCAGGGTTTTGAGATCGAGCCCTGTGTGGGGCTCCATTGGCTCTGTGCTCAGCTCAGGACTCTGCTTGAAGATTCTCTCCCTCTGCCCCTCCCCCGAATCACACACACTCTCTCCCTCTAAAATAAATAAATCTTTAAAAAAAAATATCCAGCTCTCCCCACCAAATACAATACTATACAAATACTTATAATATATCAGCATATCATACGTATGTATTAGCAGTCTGTAGTCTGTTGTTTTTAGGCAGGAATAAAAAATACAAAGAACTTAATGATACATTTGCCTTACCTTCATTGCATCAAGAGCCAATTTCAGATTTGCCTTCTCCATAGGATCAGTGGTATGTTTGACCAGTTCCTATTTGGAAGATACAGTTCAGTACTACTTTCATCAATTAAAACCAAAATATAAGAAAACATTTTTAAAAAATAAACCATTTTTATCACTATTTGCACCATAATGTAGTAAATCTGACGCAACTTAACTAGGTTCTATTTTCATAAAAAAATTTCAAACTGTAAGAAGACCAACTAGACACCAAAAGAACAGGAGACAATGGTTGGAAACACTTCCCTTTCAAAGATGAACCTGAATTCTATCCCCTGCCATTATACTGACATCCTTCCCAAAAGTCATGAAAGACCCCAACATTGCCAACTGATTCTGATGACTACTCCTCTCCCTCGGCTTCAGGGACATTAGGATCTTTTGTTTGTTGCTATTATTATTGTTGGTTAGTCCATCTTAAATTTTCTGCCAATTGACCAGTCTTTCATACTTTCTCCTTTATCTGTACCTTCGAAAGTTACCATTCCCTAGATTTTCACCTTAGTCTTCTGTTATTCTTACTGTACCTACTCTACAAATCCTATCACAATCATCTCCGTAACATCAACACTCACCTTATAAGACAATCACTCTCAAAGGAATGTGCTCAAACCCAGAACTCACGCCTGAGTCCCAGACTCTTCTGTCCAACTAAACAGTTCTACCTGGGTATCTCACAAGCCCATCTAACCCAACAATTCCAAACTTAAGGCACCCTCACCCACAACCCTGCTCCGGTTCCTGTTTATGTTTTATTGAATGATGGCACCTCCATCAATGGAATTGCCTAAGCCAAAACCTAAAAAGTGTCCCAGGTGCCCCTTCTCCCACACTGTTCTGGTGATACTGACTTTGATCCTTCCCCTGGAAACCATCCTCACTGCCAGCCACTACTTTGGTTCAAGTCCTTACTCTTTTTCACATGGGTTATTATAAATTGGCTTCTGACTTGTAGCCTCTCTGGACTACAATCTATTCACTCTATTGATATCTGAGCTTTCTAATATATAAATTGGATCCTGTCTCTACCCTATTCAGATTTCTGTGATGCCCACAAAAGCTTCAGATTGTCATCCATACCTCTTAGACCCTTCACAGTCTGAATTCTGCAAACCTCTCCCACCTTCTCTCTCCGCTCTACCCAAACAATCTATATTCTATTCACATTAAATTAACTGCAATTCTCAAAATACATTCTAATGTCTGATCCCATTAGACATGCTGTTTGCTCTCCTTAGAAAGTCCTTCCTCTTTGATGCACTTATTGAACTCTTACTGTTCCCTTCACAGCCAGTTCAAGAATCACTCCTCAGTGAAGCTTTCTATGACAGAGGCCTCCTTAAGTGCCCAGCCTCCCCAGGCATAATGAACTAGGCCTGTATTTGTATTACCTCCATACTTTCTGTATACCTATCACACTGTATGGTACCTGGAAGCCTACGTTTCATTCTCCCTATCTAAACAGTGAGCTTTATCAGTGCGGGGAGACGAGGGCTGTTTTATACCATGAATATCTAACACTGTGTGTTGAACAGGGGAGCCACTCAAAAATTTTTGCTGAGTGTAGTACAAGTAGCATTTCTACTTTTAAAGAGGACGTACAGCCATCAGATTTGTTAAATATGAGAAATTTGTCCAAGTAATATTCTTTTACTCTTATTTACTTTTCCTTTATTAATGATAGTAAATTATGCTCAAAGTTCCAAATCCCCCACTCTCAAATATTCTAAATTTATAAATCTGTGATTTCAAACCATAAAGTATTTCAAAAATTATTTCCCCACTAAAGTACAGCAGTAACTAGGAAATGTTCAAATTCATACCACATTAATTCAACAAATGTCTAAACATTAGACAAATTCTACTCTACACTATCAAGATGGAAAAACATTTCTAGAATTTTTATCTCTATGTGTTACCCCAAATAAAAAGTTCCGTATTTTAAAAAATCATAAAACTAAACATTCTTTTGAAATTTAAAATATAAAACAATCCAAGAGGGATTAAGAAAAAAGTCTGCTGAATTTCAAAAAGGTATAGTCATATTTTAAACTTTTATAAGTCTCTTTAGAACTTTATAAATGACCAAAATAGATGTTTCTTGAAAACTGCACCTTTTAAATTCTTCAACTGATATTTGACTACACCAAAGTTACAAAATAAATTATCTTATTTTGGACATGTTTTTAGTTTCATGATGTCTCAGAAACTGATTGCTTAAGTCCTCATTATTCTTTCATAAAATCCAATTTGATTAAGTTGTTTTGAGTTTAGGTCTCATAAATGTTTTAATGCATTTTTAAGAAATAATCAGGGTTTGAATTTTTCTGATTTCTCAGGAGAACAAAAATAGAGATGACTAATAATTTTGCAACTACAGTTCAAGGAATTTAATATACGAGATGTTAAAGCACAGCAGACTCAAAATTATATTTCACATACAGGTAGTAGATCTTTTTAAAATGACATTTCACAAGCATCAGCAGAGGTGACAGACTAATACTGTAAGACATTTCCCTGGAGCAGAACTAATGAGCCTCCTGGTACAGCTATCAAATTAAATTTATAAGACTCTCCACCCTCATTAGAGGACTAACTGTGGAAACCATAAGCTTTGTGGTTACAACAAGAATCACTTCAAAATAAATGTAGTCTTATTATAATTCACTATAGCAGAAAGCAACATGGAATGTGACAGAATTCTTTTTAGTTTATGGTTATAAGGCAAAAAGTCCAAAACACTTAACCTGCCAAAATTCAGGGGTATTGCAGCACTGAGATTCTAATAAATGATTCCTGCTAACCAAAGAAGACTTGGTTAAAGGGATCTTTTCATTTTTCTTTTTTTCTTTTTTTGGAGCCAGTTCTGTTTGAAGGACATAAAAAGTGACTTTGTGGAAGATACAGAATCATCTTTGCTAAAAGAAAAAGTTTCCAGCTATTCTGTTATTTCCCACTTTAATCACTGAAAAATCACAATGGGATACAGCCCCAAACATAGAGTATATGGAGCATAATTGATGCTTCACGAATACTTTGTTAAATGAATACATGAACAAATAAACTGACAGTTTTAAGTTACATACCTGGAGGAGAAGGTGATACTTTAAAACACGTTGCATAGGAACCACAAGCAAATCTCGAAGAGTGAATTTTCCATTATTTGCTCTTTTGGAACATTCCTAATGAAATGTTTTTTTAAAAACATTTTTAAAAACTTTGTTAATTTTATCAAAGGAAGTCATAAAGCAAGCATTAAAAGATGCAGAAGCCATAAACAAAACTCTTATTATATAATAAATATCTTGGTATTTTCCTTAATAATCCTTCCTGAAAAATAGAAAGTATCTAATTAAAAACCAAAAAGACAAACCTTGTAGCATTTCAACTCCAAAATGATACATTAAGCAGAACTATTTCATGCATGAAAATTATTTTCTCTAATGGCCCTCTGGGGTCTTCTTCTACCCTTATAGCTCCCCCTTCTACCAATCATCCCCCCCGCCAGCCTGTGGGCCTGGCATCAAGAACAAGTCCCTACTCATCAAACTGGCCATGTGCCTTCCTTATGGGCATGCCTTTTGCTCATTCTGTTCTCCCCAACCACCATGTGCTTGGTCTAGTTTCCAATAAAATTTATCACCCTCTTCAAGAACTATACATCTAGGCCTTTTGTGATAATCCCAATCAAAATTGTGCTCTCTCTGTGCCTTATGGGCATTTTAAGTGTTGTTGTATACAATATCTTCCCCAATATATCGTATCTTTTACAATGGAATGATTGACTCCAAAACTTTGCTAAAGTATAAACCTATTATTGGATTCAAAGTTTCAAAAGCCTATTGTTTTTTTAATCTCATACTCTCTTAAAAGTTTATCTAAAAATAGTATTGACTTGCGTCCATTCTTTTGCCATTAACTATGACTTTGAGGAAAGTACTCTGAAGTATCAAAGCGTGAATTCAAATCAAGGCTTGGCTGTGTAACCTTGAACAAGTTGCTTTTCTGATTTTACTGTTTCTCATATTTTTGTGACCTAGTTTTAATAACAAAGTTCCATAAAATTATTATTATTAGTGAGAAACTAAGTCTAAAATCCTCAGACAATTGCATATCCCAGACCAAGGAATTTTCCAGTTCCTAGAAAGAGTTGCATTCAAGAAAATACTGCTCTGTTCATGAGTTTGTTTCCCCTTTGCCCACACTTAGCTTTTCCGGCACACAGAAGGATATATTATCAGGAGCTATAAAGTAAACACCATTAGCTCTAATGACCGTAGTGACTTAATGAGTATTTGACTACAGGTCTCAAGCAAGAACTAGGGACACACCTGGACAAGTTAGCTCATGTCTTGTCAATTGCTGTTCACTGGGAAGAATAACTATTTCAACTGATTTCCTGCTTCTACAGATTGTGGAGAGTTCTGGATCATGGGTCTCAAATAGGAGGTTAAACTGTTAAGATTATTATAATGAATGAGTCTCATCTCCCTAGCTGCATTTTAAGCTCCTTGGAACTGAGGTTGTATCTTACACTTCATATATGTATATATATATGTATATATATGCCATCTTAATATAGTGTTAGGGAGAGAAATGTTACACATTTAAAATTCACTTCGTTATGTTATAGAAGTCAGTTTAAAACTGTTGGGGAAAGAATTCCTTGAAGTTCTAAGTTACAGGCTCAGGAAGTAAAAAAACTAATATTGCTGGCATTTCCTACAACTGGGGAGGAGTCTGAGTCTGAGGTTGTGAAATGCTTATTAGTATTAAAAGTAAATAAAGGGTAGAAATGAGTCTTCCAAAACATCCAATCACATGCTTAGCTGAAGTCCAGTTCTAACTGAGAAGAAAGTAAAGGAATAGGGATGAGGTAGCTTACAGGACAGGACAAAGAAACTCTGTCACACTTTGCCCTATGTTATCTTGGTTCCAAAGTAGAAAAGAAAAAAATTAAAATCACCAAGAGCAAAAGTAACCACAGAACTGAAGACATGGGGCGCCTGGGTGGCTCAGTCAGTTAAGCATCTGACTTTTGATTTTGGCTCAGGTCATGATCTCAGGGTGCTAGAGCCTGCTTAAGATTCTCTCTCCCACTCCCTCTGCCCTCCCCCGCCCCCACCACGCACACTTTTTTTTTTTTTAAGATTTTATTTATTTATTTGAGAGAGAGAGAATGAGAGATAGAGAGCACACATGAGAGGGGGGAGGGTCAGAGGGAGAAGCAGACTCCCCGCTGAGCAGGGAGCCCGATGCGGGACTCGATCCTGGGACTCCAGGACCATGACCTGAGCCGAAGGCAGTCGCTTAACCAACTGAGCCACCTAGGCACCCCCACGCACACTTTCTTAAAAACAAAAACAAAAATACTGAAGACGTGAAGGAGGCAGAGACACACGGAGAATAGGGCAGCTTTCCCTTTATCATGACAGGAGTTGCAGAGGACAGTCCCAGCAAAGAGTATCTGTTGGGGTGTCACAGTAAGTGTCTGATTCAATACTTGCAAATCAGGGCCCTGGTCAGAAGTAGTTGACTTTTTAGGCAAAAAAGGACAGCCAGCAGCCCCTCGCCCTGAGCCTTTCAAACTCAGCCAGAGGTTCTCTCTTTCCCTCAGACAATGATCATACAACAATGTTCCTAGAGTCCCAGAGTATGTCACAGGCAGGACATTGACTGTGACTCTGAAGGGAGAGGAACATCTAAACGATGCTGAGTATAATGGAGGTTTGACTGACAACTTGCAGACTCCTGTCTTGAGCCAGAGTTTTATATCTTTGTTAAAAACAAACAAACAACGGCTCTAATGGTAGCTCTGTTAGGAACTAGTTGCGTAAGTTGTCAAGTTTTATCTTACCGTATTTTAATTTGAGTCAAGATAGCTTATAGCTCTATGCTTCTGAGGTTCTATTCTCCCAAAAGGAGCAGAAACCCTTTACACTAACAGGGTTGTCAGGATATAATTTCGTAGTGACTCAAGCCACCAGCAGACCCAGAGTCCGCGACATCAGAGGATTGTGAGAAGAGGAAAAGACCCATGGTAGAGAGTTAGTGTGGTTGCTTGACAGCCTATTGATAGGTAAACTTTCTAACCACTGTTTCTCCATTATGGGTGTTATGAAATCACACCAAATGCGCTAAAGCGACGAAAGAGTTCTAATTCAAAAATCATGTGCCTCTTTTTTCCCTTTCATCACCTGACCTCACTGCCAAATTGAACAAAGACAGCAAAGGGGACACTAGAGAGTCAACTAAGCCAAACACAGCCATTTAAGAGCTGACTATGTATCTCTACCCAACATTTAAGAAAATCCAAACATATGGATTAATTGGGACGATAATTCATAAACATATAAATGATCTTTTGCAAAAGTTCTTTGAAAGTACACTCTTCTTGTGAAAAAGAAATGATATACAAGAAAAAAAAAAAAAAACCACCCCACAATCCCCAGGTTTACTTTCCATTGCTACCATGTGCTCTGTTTATTCTGGCCTACTCTCCATTTCTCAAACTTTCTCAAATCATCTGGTCAGAATGCTCTCCACGGAATCTCACCTGTCAAGATTCACTCCATTCTTTGGTGACCTAACTCAAATACTACCTCTCCAGAGAAATCTCCCACATTCTACCCATACTGAAGTGATCAGTCTTACTCATGGAGCCCTATGACTGTTTGTCACATACGACTTAATCTTACTTCTGTCTGTCTTGTTTTCCCTCTTACAGGCAATATTCATGCCCCTTTTATAACCTGGCCCTAAGTGTCTTGTGTTTTTAATAGCCATTTTTAATCTACATGTACATTACCTCCCATATATCTTACTTATCCTGTACCTCTTTCCACCTAGCTGACCCTGGGCAAATTACTCATAATGTCTCTGAGCCTTAGTGTTCTCACCCCTAAGGGAAGAAAATTAATTGTACGTATCTCACAGAGTCATAAGGATCTAACAAGATAATGCATGTAAAACACAGAGCCATAAGTCATAGATTTTACTACTGCTATATTATTACTATCACATTAATATTTTATAGAGCTGGCTATGAAAATATTTTATAAAGTTGACATGAAATTATATTCAGAATACATGGGGAAATTTACTATCGCACTGATCTTGAAAAGAAATATATCTATTTTTGTTCTTATTCTTTTTTGGGGTATGGTTGACACAAAACGTTTCCTTAGTTTCGGTGTACAACTTAGTGATTTGACAAGTTTATACACGATGCTGTGTTCACCTCTAGTGTAGCTGCCATCTGTCTCCTTCCATCACTATTACAGTATCACTGACTTCATTCCTTACACTGTGCCTGGTATTTCCATGACTTATTTATTCCATAACTGGAAGCCTGTATCTCCCTCCCCTTCACCCATTTTGCCCATCCACCATCTCCCTCCCCTTCTTTAAGGTTTATCTTACTTTATGTCACAACCAAACAAAAAATAAACAGGTACCTCTAATTTCAGTTTCACATCTTCTTTTGTCTTAGAAATGTTGTCTAAACTAGAGATGGCCGATTCCACTCCACTGCAGTACTGCCCATAAATAACCAACCTGAAAGGGAGAAAGAGAGATTCATAAGACAAAAAAAAAAGCCAGAATAAAGTGGAAAGGGAAGAGGCAGAATTCCCATCTATTTACAACCACAGCTGGGCGGAATCAGAGCAAATCTCACTCGTCCTGTGTCTCTAACTACCTACGTGACCCTCGGCAAACTACAAGTCATCTCTCCGAACCTCTACTTTCTCATTTCTTTTCAATGCACACCACACGTGCAGTCACAGAATGAGGGTCACTCATATTATGTTATTAAAAGGGATAATTTTTATTTTTAAATTTGAATGGGATTAATTCCACTTACATTTTTACAGCAGGTAGATTTTACAAACCGGCTTAATGACCGTTAACATCGAGTACACATGAATGTCACAAAAACAAAAATTTGTTTATGTTCCTACTAAAGATCAACTTTTTACTGTTTATGCACACTCAAACAGTTTTACTTTATACTACAATTTTATTTAATCACTACTCATGACTCCATTCATTAATAAACCTCCTGCTCTTTCCTGCTTTTTAATTAAGGAAAACACAGGATCTGAAAATTGGGAATGAATGCGAGGGCTGACAGTGCCAGATGGAAGAGAATTCGCACGTCAAGGAGTCTGAGGCCACTTCAGGAAGGGGGCTGTGGAGTAATACAGATATTTTACAAAAAGTTTGGATAATTTATTGTTTCTTTTAATTCTCCATTGGGGGGAAAAAAACTACTAATGAGTTCATGTTTATCCAACTGTTGTTGATGCAAAAGCAATCCATTAGCCACTTCTTAGCACCAGGAACTCCAGTGCTTGATTTAAAAAGAGAGAATGACATTTTAAGTGAAATTTCTTGGTACTTTAAAGCACATGAGTTGTTCAGAAGATTTTTTTTTTTCAAACTTAGAAGGGAAAACTGCCTTAAAGAGAGAATTATAAAATATTGGAGTGGGACCAAGCACTAGGCACCAGGTAATCTACTCCTAACATTTACAGATGGAGAAAAGGAGGCTCAGAGACTTAAAATGACTTCCTGAAAACTACAGAACTCAGGAGTAAAGGGTCTGATAAAGAACCTGAACCTTCTGACTTGCAGTGCAAAACTCTGGATCCTTGTTTTTGTTTTTCCCTTTTTCTTGATACACATACAGAGCTCAAACTACTACCCTGAGATTAACTGTCCCATGTTCTAATTACTACCCAGGCAGTATCTTAATAGCTATTTATGAGCAATTTTAATACTAACCCTCACTATAACCACAAAGTGATAGCCACAACATTTAAAAGTTAAAAGTTACCTTTCCTTGTAGTTAATGAAAACTTGATACAAGTTCTGGTCATTTTTATTTACAATGGAATCATGAATCTCTTGCATTAGGTTCCGATGAACTTTTACAAGCTCCTTAGGAAAGGGAAAAAAAAAAAAAACATGTCAAAGGAAATTATAAATCAGGACCAAAAAAAAAAAAAATCACCCAAACTGAAAATCCCTACAGTTGCTAGACTTGTCTTTCAAAGAGATGTTGAATGCCCTCAATATATAAACCTGCTACCACAGATGAAGACAGGAGTAAGGGGAGGAGGGAAAGAGAAGTGAGAAAGGGGAGAAGGGGGAAGGAGAGAGGAGAGGAGGGGAGGGGAGGGGAGGGGAGGGGAGGGAGACAGGCCAAATGCACAGAAAACAGCACTTTCAGATCAGACCTGAATCATCAGTGTCCTGGGGTGGGGGGGGAATTATCTCACTACTTATTAAAGGGTAATTTATTCCTTATATAAAAATATGTACAGCTCATTTTCATTATAATCACTCTAATTTTTTAAATAAAACTATCCAAGTGCTTAATGTTTTATTGACTGAATAAAGTAATGATTCACGTCCTTGGGACATAAAAATGTAGATTTGCACTTTGGTCAATTAATGGTGTCCTGGTGCTAAGCTGACAATAATCACACTAAATTACTTGAAACCAGACAACTAATGGCATAAATAAAGAGCAGATAAATTGTACTAGGCAGTTTGCTAGAGCAACTCAGAAGTCAGAATTCCACCTTTTCCTGATAAGCAAGTAATTTTCAGTCAGGCAGTAAATAACACGTCACAGCCAGGAAATGAGGAAATTCTAATCAAGGTGCCAATTCTCCCATTATCCCTTCCTTGTACCTTGGTGCCCACACTGACTTCACAGCAAGCCCTTTCCTTAGCAGGGTGAAAGGACACAGGAATATGTTGGCCCTGTCATTTTGTTGAAGAGCATGTTAAAGCCATAAGATTAAGGACTGTCAAATGCACCCTATGTTACAGCGACAGCAGTGAGGTGGTTCAAGAGCCTCATCTTCCTAGAATATATGATTTGCTTTATGCTAAATGTTCACCTGATATTGTGACTTTTTTCTTCCTGCTATGCTATGAATCAATGAGAATATCTTCATCTGGCCAAAATCAGGGACAAGGACAATAATCTGCAAACTGATGCACATAGACACTGAACATGACAGAACCAAAATAGTAGGGAACTTTCAGGTAAAACAAGCAAACTTGTGCTTTTTAGTGTATCCATGAGCCATCTATTAAAACCCAAGTCAGTTTTAGACGTTTAAGAACTTGAATCTTGCCTAGTATGACCTCACTGGGCACAGCATTTGGTTTGTTTCAATGCTTCTAGGTAACTATCCTTTAAGATTATAAGGTAATTGGAAGGGGCTCTGAAATTCAAAATGCTTACATAAACGTGAAAAAAAAAAAGCTCCTCACATCTAACCACTAAAATGGACTCTTAAATCATAAGGAAGTAGTGCATCAGAAATGGGAGTTAAGGTTAGTACAACTGAAAGCAGAAGCAGAAAGCACCACAGAGCAGAGGCCAAGGAAGTGGAGAAATCAATGTCTATAGGACGGGGTTGAGAAGCTGGAGTAGCAAGAGAGCAGGAGTGGACCATAAGGGGGCTCCCACAAGACAGACAGTGGCACCAGGGATTCCTTAACTTAGACTACCTCCTCCTGACAAGCAGTTAAGTGTAATACATGAATCTTATCCATGCATGTTCAGCTTGAATCTCAACTGATTTTGGCTGAAGATATGACACATCCTTTATTTCTAGAAAATAAGGATCTAAGAACTCAGGAGGCAAAAAATAGAGTTAAAATTCTTCAAGAATACAGGAAAATATTAAATAGGAATCTGGAACCCAATAAGAAGATAGGAATTTTACAGAAGTATACCACAATTTTAGCTAGCATATTTTTACTTACAGGAATGTTGATGAATACTGAATCAAATTCTGCTGCTGTCAGAAATCTTTTTAGTGGTGCCATGAAATACTACAAGGATAAAACGGAATAATTAAGCACAACTTATCCTAATAATAGTTTTTCATCAACAAATAATATTTATTGAAAGTAAATTGTTTATCCATATAATGAATACCAAGATAAAAGCAGATACTATTTGCTCTATCTTGAAGATTTTATACTTGAATAGAGATATAAAGACATAATACAAGTTAACACATTTAAAGTATAGACTAAAAGGTTTCAGCAATAAATGCTTCTGAAAGTAAGAAAAAAAGAACCTTATTGGCCAAATTGGGGGGGGCGGGGAAGGCAGTATTTTGGAGATACAGGACTGATACAAAATATCCCTCAAATGCCTTGTAGAGATTCTAGGTCCCTGAGATCAATTATGGATTTGTGCAATTTATGGATCATCCCCTTCATTCTTTGAGAATTTTAGTTCTTGGCCTGCCATACTGCTTTCCATTACCACTCCACTGTCCACTTCTGGCAATCTCAGTATCTGTGCAGATGATCCTCCCAATAGCCTGGCCTTTCAGCTCCTTGACTTCCAGTAATCTCGTGTTCCATCCCAGCTCGGCTCCCTACTCTGGTGGTCACATCCCGAGACCTTCTCATTAGCAAAAACTGCAAGGCTCTATAGCATTAATTTCAAGCAATCAGCTCTCTGACCACTACCCCCTACCTTGACAGCTCATTCCTTCAAGAAATTCTTCAGCCGCATTGGGTCTGCCAATCCACTGAACATCCTGTGTCTTTCATATCCTCACTTCCCTTCCTACCCAGTTTGCACTCCATAAACCATCATCAGAATCACTTCCCTGCATATACCCTTACCCTCTACTCTCCTCTTCCACTGTGCTTTTCTGGAAGAAGAAAAAACCTGGTTAAATTTAGCTTGCTATGGATGTTGTACCTGTACCTAAGGAGTTAAACATGAACTAGACTGACAGTCTAATTTTCAATTGAGCCTGTGATACTGCATAATCCTACTACATTCCCCTAATCAATTTACGCCCACCCTCCTCCCAAACAACTCTTCCACACCTTCAGCTCTTTTCCTAAATGTCCAAAACTTTCTCCTGGTTCTCGATTTCCTGACCTCTAAATGTGGAAGTTGCCAGAGGTGGCCTCAAACCTCTCCTCTATCAACATCCATTCCCTAGGTGAATTCATTCAGTACCATGGCCTTATACATTCCTTTGCGTCATGATAACGGCCAGTTCAACTTTTCCCCTTAATGCCAGCCTCATGTATCTGACTTCCTCCTCAGCACAGCCCCTTGGAAACTGAGAAGTATTGCAAATTTAGTATGTCCCAACAGACTCATAATTTCCAAACCTGTCCTCCCCATCTCAGTGACAATCTTCACCACTCAGGCAGTTATTCATGCTATAAACCTAGCATTCTTGATTGCTTTCTTTCTCAGACATCCTTCATCTAATTCATCATCTAATCCACTTGGCTCTACTTGCAAAATTTATTCAGAATCTGACCATTCCTCACCAGCTCTACAAATACTATCATGTTCTGTCAATCCAATTACTGCAATAGCCTTCTAACTTTTCTCCCAAAAAGTCAGAACGAGCTGTGAAAAACTTACATTAGATCATGTCCCTTCTTCTACTCACCCAGTCCACCTTTGAGCTAGTGTTCTCTATGCGCCCTACAGGATGCAGTGGCGCACCAGCTCTCCGCGCTCACTGCTTCTCTTCACTCATGCTGCTTCAGCCACCTGGGCTACTGCTGTTTCTTGGAACATGCGGAACACAGTCTCATCTGAGGGCCCTTCTCCCAGGAACTGTCATCTCTGGGATGTTGGCACAGCTTGCTCCCTCAATTCCCTCAGCTGTCTGTCTTCAGTGTGATCTTACCACAGACCTTCCATTATCACTTTACATAAAATAAAACCAGCCCACCTCCACCACTCTCTATCCTCCTTCCCTGACTGATTTTTCTTCAGAGACTTTATCAACACCTGGCACACTTATTTGCTTAAATTATAAACTCTCCCATAGGAGAGAGTATCATGAGAACCAGAGTTTTGTTGTGTTTCCTGCTATAGCCTTGGCGTCTAACACTGTGCCATTCCGATATTAAGAAATCAGTAGCTAGTTGTGGAATGAATAAATCTGCTTTGAGATCTTTAAATCCAAAGTCCTCCTGAAATGTAGAAAATACGCAGTAGACATAGTGTCTTTTATATTAACTATAAAGTGCAGTACTTAGGCATCAAATACCTGATAACTTACTTTTTCTATTGACTCCAGTGTTTCTGTGTATTTTTCTTCTGTCTGCTTAATTTCTGCTAGGCAGCAACTTCGTATGTCATTTTCTGGACATTTCTGCAATTAGAATTATCAAAAAATTATTTAATCAAACATGTGTGTTAATCTCTCTGGTAGTCAAAATCACTGACTTTCTTAAACTTTCCATTCTAATAAAACATATAACTGAAAGATATATTTATTGCATTTATGAGGTATCTGTTCTTAAAATTTTGAACCATGTAAATGAAACAGTTTTAAATAATTAAAAATAAATTTCTGAGTATAGACACTCTTTATACTGGAAACATCACTTTCATTATTTCATCTACTTCATTATTGAATCTGGAAACATCACACATGGTGTAATATAGTTTTCTTAATGTACAGCACACTTTACAAGTACTGTAGAAATACTTGCAAAATAACAAGAGGATATTTGATAGATAAAAATCTTAAAATACTTTTTTAAGAGTTAGTATCTTGGTGTTTGGCTCACCTATTAGTGTTAAGACTGGAGGTATTAAGAGCATAACATGAAGATCAAAGGTATGGGGGATCAGATGGAATTGGTTTCGAGTACCAGTTTTTCTGTTATTAGCTTGGTATTATGAACAAGTTACCTATTTTCTCTGTGTCTCAGTTTTCTCATCTACAACACAGAGAGAATTATAGTTCCAACTCTAAGGAACTGTAAGTGAGATAACCTGGTAAAGCACACAGCACCCTGAGGAGTATACAAGAAGGACCCTACGCATTTAAATGATCATTGCTGTCAACCCTGTCCAGTATAAACAACCCGGCACTGTTAGCTGAATGAAGAACTGCCCTTGGGAGACACATTGAAGAATCTGCTGGTACCCAAAGCAGATGATGACTCTAGGAGATACAGATGATACTCTGTCACCTAAAAATACTCAAAATCCTGCCACAGGCAGCCTGTCAGCTCACAGTGGGTTAAAGCACATTCATCACATTTACCAAACACAGACCAGGTAACTTGTTTCCTTCCCATGGAAACTGCTCCCTATATGGGGCACTGGACAAACCTCCAGCCTTTTATCAAAGGCAAGACTATAAAGAGAGCGGAGGAAATTAATCAAAACACTAAAAAAAACAAAACAAAACAAAAAAAAAACCTAAACCACCATCCAGCTTTTATATAAAAAAAAGACTACATTAATGAAAGCCTATGCAACTGATCATTTTTTTCAAATTATAGGTGAGAAAAAAATTCAAAGTAGTTCTTTCTGAATGTTTTAGATATTTTAATGGCAGATAAACCATTGTGGGCTCATACTGACTACGACGATATATGAAACTAAGTTTATAAAACAGTAAAAATTCTAGGAGACTCTTTAGTGAAACGAAAGAAAAAAATACTACTTCCTCTACCCCTAACAAATACGAAGAAATATTCTTTAACATATACTTAATGCTACATCAAATTTAAAGAAGATTTAACTGCTTGGTAAGAGAAGATCTCCCTTCATGATAATGTAATTTCGTGATTCGCTGGAATTCTGTTCTATTGCCACTCTGCCACTATTTAGCTGCGTGGCACATCATTTCTCTCTCAGACTTGCTTTCCTTACAAGGGAAATTCAAGGACAAGACCAGAGATTGCCTGTGGTTGTTTTGAATTGCAGAATGTCATGTCCATGTGTTTCCAAATGCAGGAAGTCAATTATATAGTTAAAAGCTAGCAAAGGTAAAGAGTAAACAAAAAACTATTCCAGCAGAAGTTACATAAATAATTATATGAATCCGTCTCGCAAGGAATCACTGTCCTAATAAAATACTCAAAGTAACTCAAGACATAAGGCAAGTGGGAGCCTACGGGTTGATGTGCCTCCTCTGCTTTCATTAAGTCCTCGTAGACTTCTCCTCCTTCATCTTCCCCATAAACACAGTCGTAAAGACCTTCTTCATCTTCTACGTGTGATTCACTGAAACAAAGGGTAGGATACTCAGGTCATTGTCTGTTATGCAGTAAATGCAATAGCTACATACAGCCTCGTGGAAAATCCAGGGAAAAAATATAACGGGATTCATGGAAAGAGTCCAAGGCTTTACATTACAACTTTCTCCCTCTTAATGAGGATAATGTCCAACAACAGAATCCACCAAGGATGGCAGCGACAGCTAACATTCACTGGGTATTTATTATGTACATGCACATAAATGATCACTCTGCATACATGATCTCACATAGCTGGCCCAGGCCCAGTGTTCACTGTGTTATCAGGTAGGCATTATTATTTAGTCCATTACAGAGATAAGGATGTCAGAGAACTAAAGGTTATTTATTTGACTTGCCCACGAAAACACAGCTAGTCTGTGGCAGGTCCAGATTTAAAACTGAGTCTGTCTTACATTCTAAGTGTTCTAATCACTCTATCCTACTGCCCCCATTTTTCCTATTTCGAGGCCTGAGACTGATCATCTATATTAATGGGTCTGATATGGGAAAGACAGGGAAGTTGGGGAGGATCTCATAGTTTATAAATGGTCTTTTAAAAGCAACAGTTTCTGCAGGGTTATTATTGCCGATATCTAATGCAATGGTTTTCCAACCATGCTTCTTCCAGCCCACTCAGAGGGTCTCCCCAAGTCCCCCATTCAGCCAGATTCTGCTATTACCTGTTTTGTCTGTATTTTGTTTAAAGAAATGGTCCCAAGCCCACAAGGCATTTTTAAATACCATTTCAAATCTGCTGGCCTGATAGTTGAAAACCATCCCTATTTTTAAAGCTCCCAATGAGCACATACACAGTGACTGACTGACCTACCTTTCCTAAACCCTTCATATGATATCACCAACCCATTTAGTCAAAGTAGAAATAGCTAGTTCCACCTATCACATGTTGTTACTACTCCTTAAGCTTTTCCTTTCAGTTCAAGACTTCTATAAATAGCCTCGATCACTAATAATCCCAATTAAGATTAATAAATTTAGACATTTCTAAATTCAACTCCTTCAATACTGCCAGCCCTTATCATCTTTCTTAGGCCTGTGCAGATGGAACATTATAAACGGATATGCACAAAAATAAGAACACTGTAACTGTAAACGTCACTCTACAACTTGGATCATTTTTCAAAGTAGGTTCAATCACCAGGTTGTCTATGTTTGTCATGAAGGATTATTTGGAAGCCTTTGACAGGAATGAACTGTATCAAACACCCAGGAGAAATAAAGGTGCCTTAAGGGAGAGTGATCTGGTGGTAACAAATGTCTCAGAGAACTCTGCTCTGAGAAAAATTTGTCTTTGGGTTAGCTGTCCATCCATTCACTCACCCAGCAGACATATACTAAGAACCTATGGAGGTCCATACTCTTTAGTGCTAAGAATGCACAGATCAAGAAGATCCGAGGACTCTCCCATAGTCTAGTGTAAAGCATAGCATGCCAACATGTAATTCTAGAAGGGCAACAGAGCAGATGAACGCAGAATGCATGAGCGAGGGAAAGAGTAACTCTGACTGAAGAACTCAGGGAAGGCTTCACAACAGATACTACAACTGAACTGGATCTTGAATATATTTATCAATTTATTCAATAGCTATTTGCTAAATGAGTACTACTATGTTCCAAGAGATATGGCTGCAGACGAGGCAGACACAGTTTCTGCTGTCGGAGGTGACACATACTCACTGAAGAAAGGGAAGGAACATTCCAAAGGATACCAACACTTGCAAAGGCAGAAGGTCTGGAGAGCCCAGCAACGTCAAGAGTGTTGTCCCATTCAGGTAAGTGAATGTAAGCCCCAGAGGGAAAAGCTAAAACCAACCTGTGAAAGGCAGTACACCCTGTAAGCACAACCTTACGTGGGCATTTGGAACGCAAGACAGGGTTTCCTATCAAGGCAGAATGGAGGCAACAAGAAGACAGTAAGCCCAGAAGTGAAACCCTGTGGGTAAGAGATTTTGAGAGCCATAACTAGAGTAAAGGCAGATGAGGAAAGAAACAAAGAGACTTCAGAGACTGTGTCAGGTGCAGTCAACCAGACTTGGTGACCAGTCAGAATTAGGGAGAGGGGGAAAGGAGTGAAGGAGGCTACTCAGCTTCCTACTCAGTAAAACTGGGCAGATGCTAAGTCATTAGGTAATTCCAGAATTACCACACTGACGGGTTTAGGCAGGCAATCCAACCAGAGAACAGGGGGAAGTTAAACCAGTCTGAACATTTTCTATAACACATCAAAGGAGAGGAAGGTTTGATGAGTCCATGAGGGAGTGGAGAGAAGGAAGAGTAAAGGAACAGGCTCTGCATCAGGAGAGATCCTGTTCAACAAGAAGCTAGGCTGTGAAGTCCATTTCCCTGCTACCCCTAATCCCAGCTCCACTGCTTTGGCCACCACTCCCACCCCTGAAAGAACACCTCATCTTGCTGAACTGTTGCTTTTGACTATTTCCCATGAGGGTAGAGGCACATGCTGTATGAATACATACAGATTTTTCTTTTACCATTGTAGGAGATATGACACTTAAAGCACAAGCAACAAGATAAAAAATAAACAAGTCAGACTGCATCAAACTAGAAAGTTTCTGCACAGCAAAAGAAACCATCAACAAGGTGAAAAGACAACATATGGAATGGGAAAAAAAATGTTTACAAACCATCTATCTGAGAAGAGGTTAGTATCCAAAATATATAAAGGACTAATACAACTCATATAACCACAACAAAACAGCCCAATTTAAAAATGGGCAAAGGACCTGAATAGATATTTCTCCAAAGATATATGAAGGGCCAAAAGGTACATGAAAAGATGCTCAACATAACTAGTCATTAAGAAAATGAAACTTAAACCACATGAGATACCATCCCATGCCTGTTAGAATGGCCATCATCAAAAGACAAGAGATAAATCCTGGTGAGGATGTGGAGAAAAGGGACCCCTCATGCACTGTTGGTAGGACTATATATGGGTGCAGTCACTACAGAAAACAGTATGGAAGTTCCTCAAAAAATTAAAAATAGAAATATAACATGATCCAGGAATTCCACTTCTGGGAATATATCCAAAGGAAACAAAAACACTAACTCAAAACGAAATCTGCACCCTCATGTTCAGAGCAGCATTATTTACAATAACCAAGACATGGACAGAACCTACAAGTCCACTGATGGATGAATGCATAAAGAAGTTGCAGTATATGTATGCACAATGGAATATGATTCAGCATAAAAAAATGAGGAAATTCTACCAATTGCAATAACATGGATGCACCATGACGGCATTTTGCTGAGTAAAATAAGACCAAGAAAGACAAACACTGTGTGATCTCATTTATATATGGAATCTAAAAAAAAAAAAAAAAACCTCATTATAAAATAGATCAGACTTGGGGAGATCAGAGATGGAGGAGAGGGGGAGGGATAATTGGAACAAGGTAGTTAAAAGGTACAAACTTCCATCAGTCAGGTAAATAAGGACTAGGGATCAAATGTATGACATGATGACCACAGCTAACACCGCTGCACGGTACACAGGAAAGTTGTTAAAACAGTAATTCTTAAGGGTTCTCATCACAAGGAGTTTTCTTTTAACCTTTTCTTCTTTCTTTTCTTTTAATTGTATCTATATTGGATGGATGCTGTGGTAATCATTTCACAATATATGTAAATAAAACCATCATGCCATATTCCTTAAACTTTTCCTATTGTGGTAATCATTTCACAATATATGTAAATAAAATCATCATGCCATACTCCTTAAACTTACACAAGGATGTATGTCAGTTATTCTCAATAAAATTGGGAAAAAGTTTTTAAAAAGAATTGTAGGAGTGACACACACGTGTGTGTATGCACGTGCACACTCACACACAAACACACACACACACACTCAAGATTGGGCTAAAATGCTTTGGGTTTTGTTATTCAATCCCATACTAAGGCAACTTTTCTTGCTAATAGTTTGGTCAAGACTTCCTGACCTGCATAAAATGAGTGGGGGGTGGGAGCGGCGAAGGATGACTGTGATTCTTCAGATGGCCAACAAATCAACAATAATCTACATTACTTTTTCTGTGTCTAGGTCATCTATATATGGCCATGACTAACACCCTGATCTTAAAAGTAGAAAAAGCAGACACTGTGCAGCCTAGCCATCTCACACCCTCTCCATTCCATTCTGTGTCTGTTTCTCTCCATTGTGAGAACAGAATGATTCCCTCTGCAGTAGGGAGGTGGCCAGTGTTGGTTCTAAGGGCTTCCCTTGGGGTGATTTCACCCCTCGAAGTCGGACTTAAGGATATGAGCCCATAGAGATCATAACAAAGCTAAGACTGAAAATCAAAAGCAAGCACTTGTAGGAATAATACCACGTTTGGACCTTCCACCACCAGATGGAGAGTTGCCGCAGGTTGCATCTCCCAGAGCGTGGGCTGGTGTCTCAGAAGCCCAGGTTTCTCCAAACTTAGCTAGGGGTGCATCCTCTCAGGATTTATCCTGACATCAACACAAGATGAGGGAAGGCTTTGAAAATGAGTAAGTGTAAGTGACAACTGGTGGGGCTTAAGAAAAGAACATCATAATAGCTCTCGAAGTAATAAATATTCTTTTTTAAAGATTTTATTTTATTTGAGAGAGAGAAAGGGGGGGTTGGGAGTGGGAGGAGGGAGGAGGGTGGGGGGAGAGAATCTCAAGCAGACTCCGTGCTGAGCATGGAGCCCAACTCGGGGCTCGATCTCACAACCCTGAGATCATGACCTGAGCCGAAATCAAGAGTCGGACACTTAACCAACTGAACCACCCAGGTGCTCCAAGAAATAATATATTCTTCCTAATATTTCAAAGGATTTGGTTATATTACCAGAACCTTACAGTCACCTTATCGAGACTGTAGCCAATTCAGTGAGACAATCAGCATCAATCTTGCTCAAGATCAGTGAGCTGCTGGAGGTTTTAAGAAGAGCTAAGAAACTATCCTTCATCCACATTTAAAACATAAAATTTCAAGGCCCATCCAAGTGCCACCTATTCTGGGACAAGCTGCTGGCCATCCTGTCAGCATTTTCCTCTGTTCTTCTACTGGAAGTTCTTGGAGGGAGGTGGGGGGCATCTCAGGGTGCTTCCAGGGGTCCATGCAGTGAGGAAGAGCCCCAGCTCTGGAGAACTATCTGGGTTCAAATCCAAAGATTAAAATTTACTAGTTCGGTGACTTCCAGCAAGTTTCTTAGCTTTCCACAATTCAACTTTCTCCTTCATAAATTGGGATAATAGGAACAACCTCATCATGTTGCAGTTATGACACGAGATAATGCACGTAACATGGTTAGCACAGAAACTGGCACTCAATAAGCTCGTATGAACTGACGAGATACCTCAGGCCTGAAGCAGAATGCTGACAAACAGGAGATGCTTGATGCAATTTTGCTTAATCATTCAGAAAACAAATATTTACTGAGGACTTACTATATACTAGATGCTGTGTAAAGTTCTAGGAAGATAGCCAAGAACAAGGTAAAGTCCCTGGCCTCACAAAGTTGACCTTCTAAAGAGGAGATGGAGACAAAGATTGTCTTGGGCAGTAGTGAGTGCCATAAAGCCACAGAGCAAGGTGAGGGACCAGCAGCAATTTCGGTAGGGTAGTCAGGAAAGCCTCTCTGTGGAGGGACATCTACGCAAGGGCTGGAACAGTGAGGGGTCAGCCCTAAGGGCGGAAGGAGCAAGTGCCAAGGTCCTACAGCAAGAACAAGCTTGGAGTGCTGGTGGATTAGGATGGATGAATGGGAGAATTTCCACAGAATCTGCATCCCTTTTAGAGCATAATCTATGTCTTATTATAATGCTTTGCAAACATGCCTGATCTTTATCATCAGTTCCTTGAAGGGCAGGGATCATTTTTTATATTTATTTGTAATCTGCACAAGTCATTCAATCAGCAGAAGATAATCAGGTGCAAGGACCTTTTGCCTCTCCTATTAAACAATAAAGCCCAGAAGGAATCTCCGTGCAAAACAAACACCATGTAATGAAACTCCCTGAAGAACTCCAGCCCACGCTCATCTTGCCTTTCCTTGAACTTACAGAGCATGCACTATCTGCCCTACATCTCTAGGACAGATCTTGTTTCTTTGTCATTGTTCCTTAACTGTCTAATTCCAGTTTCACCCACCACCTCTAGTATGCCTTTGAGAAACTTCCAAATTTTAGTTCATTGCAGTATGTTTCTTCACTCGTCAGAGGGACTGGCATGGCGTGGGGCACACAACAGGAACTAAAAGCCAGATGAGGCCCATTTTCTGGTGAAGATTTCCATCCCTAGTTTGAAGTTAATTCTTACACGTCTTAATCATTAAGCCACTTTTCTGCTTCAGAAAACTATTTTAACATCCATGGTTAAAATCCACAAAGGATGCAAACATTGGCAGTGGTTTAATTTTGAAGATGCCCAACATACTCTAATAAGTCAGGAAGGCCTTTGTAGATGTCTTCATCACTAACGCTCTCTTCTGTTGGAAAGGGCCTGGAAGAGAGAGAGGAAAAAAAAAAACCACACAAAACAAGGATGAATAAGCAACCACTAGGCCAGGCATTTAGTTCTCACTAAACGCACAAGGTCAGCTACAGTAGTCAGATCAGTGATCATGTTTAACACAACGGCCTGGGCTCCTCCCAAAGTGCCCATCCTGTAGTGGTGCATGGGGTCCCCCAGGGACACCGTGGCACCTGCCACCCCAAATGAGCTGTAGCAATACCAGTGGTCGCCACCATCACCTGAGCAGCTATGGACATGCTCACGTGCTCATCTGCTCTGCCACGTGCCACTTACCTGCAGGCTCTGCAGCTTCCCAGCTCAGAAAACCAGCAGCTGCCCCTGTGCCCCTGCCTTGAGCACCGTCTCTCTCCACTTATGGAATCTGATCTGACTGACAAATGGTTTGGTAACAATCATCCCTGCATGACTCAGCCCACTAAATATAAAAATTATTAGAAGACCAAAATATCCGTACCCTTTTTATATGATTATTGATTCTGGCAGACTGTTCCGCTCTGACTTCAAGATATTTAAGTTGTATTTTTTATTTTCACTTATTGGACAAATGAGTGAACCCTAAACCTTAAGAAGAGTAGGATGTTTTCTTTGTTTCCTATTAAAAGAAAAGCACTTTAATGTATCCCCTACGTCTAGCCATTGGCTTTTTTTGCCTAATGTACTAGGCACTTTTTTCATAACCCCAACATAATGCCCTAAATGCATATCTAACACAATCATAATTATACTATTATGTCAGAAGTTTTACTTTCTTTATATGCAGGCAGCATGTCATGTTTCATAAAAACAAGAGGATCCATCAAAATAATAAATGAGCACTAAGTAATTGGTAATAACTATATTCAATACATTGAAAAACAGATTTTCGTATTAGTTTATGGATTAACTGAACACTTAAGACATTTAAGGAACTTACACTTTTCAAATAAATTAAAATGTGTGAGAAATGCCGAAGTTTCAAAATCTTTTTTTTTTCTGAAATTCAGGCACATTTGATTATGCTTTTATACCAATGCAAGTCCATTATAGAAAAATTTGAAAATATAGATTAGAATATTAAAAAGGAAAAGAAAACCTTCTAATGTATATCCTTTCAGAATCAAAAATACATAAATACATAAAAATAGCATCAGCCTATTTCAAAATCTGCTGTTTACACATAATGACATAAAATATATATTAATATAAAAAGATGAATCACGTAGAGCAAATTATAAGGTGTTAAACACGTAATCCAGCCTAGAGATTACTTCTGTAGAAAGCTGCCAAATTCATAGCCCATTTCCAAGAACCAGTCTGCAGGGTATCCTCCCTGGGGTCACTGTGCTTTGTATCCCGGGAATGGGCTGCCTGGCCACTGCCAATCAGTCCTCTAAGAGGTGCTTATATCCTCTCCTTTAAAATCTGAATGTGAGCTGGACACAGAAAAATGGCATCAACAGAGGGAGAGACACAGCATCACAAAACCCCATAATGGCTGGAGACTAAATTATGGTGCTCTGGGGAAACAAGATAAAAAATGAAATCCATTCAATTTCCATGCAGCCTAGCTGGGTGGCTATTGAAACTGTTTCTCTGTATTTCTGATGTTACTAATAATACAAATTTCTGACTGATCTAACTTGAGTATGTGGTGTTGTAAACAGGAAAAGCCCAACATTACATGTCTACATTTATTTCCATGCTTACTGACTGCATAATACTCCACAGCATGGAGATGTCATAATTCGTTTAACCAATTTACTTCCAAGTTTTGCATTTAGGACCAATCCTTCAACTCACATCCTTGTACACATATCATTTTATACTTGTCTGATTACTTTTTAAACTCCTAAAGCTGTGAGTTCTTGCTATGGACTATAGGAAATAAATGTACTATGACAACTTGTCAAGTGTTTATTTACTTAAGCATTTGTGTTTATTTTGATGAATCATATGTAATGAAATGAAATGTTGGAGGAAGTTAAGAAAACAAAGTACCCTATCGGTAATAGCCAGCAGTGAATTGAGAATGATGTTTAGCCAATGTGTCTTATTCACTCTACAAATAACTTCTTACTTGCTCAATTAATTTCAAATGTGTACTAGGTACTTTACATCAGGTACTGTACTTGCAAGAATGAGACGTGGTCCCTGCATGCAAAGTGCTTTACAAACAATAACCATTCAATAAATAACCACTACAATAAAGGAACAGAACACATGAACCACAGAGAAACAAGCTTACCTGATTCCTGTGGCCAACGCTATAGGTGTGCGAGAAAGTCGTGATAGTGTTTCTATAACCTGAGAGAAAAGGAAAAGTGTTAGTTGGACATGTATTTCAGAAAAGATACGAACTTTTTTTTGAAAATAGTCTTACAATCTAATATTAACAATGGCAGCAGAAACCTAAATTTGCAGATGCCAACAAAGTACAGAATGGAAAGAGCTGTTTCTGAAAATTATAAACACCTGGGTTATAATCCTGTCCCTTCTTTAACTTTGAAACTCTAAGCAGATTACCAAGCATCTGGTTTGCCATTTCTTTATCATTAAAGCAAGGAGTTAGATGGGGTAATACTAAAGGTCTTCTACCTTCACTTCTACAAAATCAGAAAGGTCTTGTACCTTCACTTCTACAAAATCAGAAAGGTCTTGTAAAACTGTGCCATCCAAAACAGTAGCCACTGGCCACACAAGGCTATCTAAATTTAATTTAATTAAAATTTAAAAAACAAAAGATTAAGTTTCTTAGTTGTGCTAACCATATTTCAAGTGCTCAGTAGCCATATGTGGCTACTGTATTGCACTACCCAGACATCAAACATTTGCATCATCCCAGAGAGTCCCATGGAGCAGCACTGCTGTATAGCTTAAGTGGTTTAGAATGGGGGCTCCTGAGCCCGACCACAGTTCAAATCCTGGCGTTGCCTCTCATTAGCCATACAACCTCAAGCAAACTACTTAAGGTCCCTGGGCTTTGGTTTTCTCATCTGGATACTGCCTATAATTATAGTTAGCTTATTCATAATCATTCATTATAGGAATTAAAAAGATAATACATGAAAAGTATTTACATGATAGCTATTCTTTATAATTGCCAACTTTAAGAAAATTACCTTATTGTAATTCTGAGTATTTGCAGAAAAAGAGTTTCCTAAACCCTTATCTGAATGTATTTTAAAGATTCCTTATGAAGACTTTGGTACCTGCGCCCTGCTATAGTTTTAGCTTTAGAATCTAGAGATTTTAGTAAGATTTCCTTACCACTTTTACAACTAAGATAATCTCTCTCAAAGACTTAGTGAGGAACCCAAAGAGATAAAATGTATTTTTCTCATGAAGCCTGCTTCTATGGTAACAGGTATGATCCGTCCTAACTCTCCAAACTAAACAAAACTTAAAGAGGTTCTATAAGGATTACTCAGAATGGGGGGGGGGGGGGAGAAAAAAAGAAAAAAGGCAAAAATCTCTCTCTGAGCTGAGGTAATCTAATTTCACAGTTCAAACGTGGAAACCTAATAGCGAGGTCTCCAGTACTCCACAGAAGTCAAATATGAGTATTAGCCACACACATACTTATCTCTTGCCTACTTCAGGAGGTGGTACATTGCTGAAGTTATAAACATACAGCTCTGGAGCAAGAATATCTAGCTGAGCCTTGGCTCATCAGATTTCAGCTAAGCTCACCTTTACTAGCCTCTATAAAATGTGGCTAACAACTAACTACCAGCCTCATGGAGTTACTGAAAGAATTAAATGAGATAATGCCCGTCAAATGCTTAACTCAATAAATGTAAACTTTCATCATATAAAATTATCATTATATAAAATAAATAAAATAAAATTTAATTGAAAGACTATACAATTTCTTCCTGGTTTCATCTTGTTGAACATTTGATATAAAATCAAGTACACAACCACCCAGATAAAACTAGGTATCAATTAATTCCCCATCATAAAGATAAAAGTATCTTTAGTGAGTCTGTAAATTTAGAAGATCATGAGTGAATAACAAGTTTATCAAAATAAACTGATTCAAAATAAAAATAACCATTTGCTAAAATTCCAAAATTATGCATAACTGAGAGAAACATCTAGCTTTTGGAAGATTCTGGAATAATTCGCGGAGTATTTAGACTCATGAATTAATGGTATTGTTAAATTTCAGCATCAGCCTTATCCTGATGTTTGCTGTTTTAAATCTGTGGGGTGAAATCTGTTTCTATTTTATACAATGGTCCCAGCATTGCCATTACTAAGAAGAAAAATAGCAATAACGTCAGTATTACGTATTTTACTACTATGATGTATTTTACTATTGCTATTTTATACTTTAATAGAAATGTATTTTATTCCTGGGGATGTTATCTGTAAAATTATGATGCATCTAAAGATAAGAATGTATCTTGTGTTCCTTTTCCACCAACAATCAGAACTACTTACAACCCATCCCCACCCAAAAAAGACTGCAGTTTGCTTTTTCGTACAACTGTCCACCAGAGGGAGCCAGAAGATAGCATATCACTTCAGTCCTACATTAAATGTGTCTATAAAGTACAAACATTTCTGAAAAATCAACAAGATGAAACAACTATTATTTATTTAAAACTATTACTTATTACCATTCAGTAATAGAAAAATAATGAAGGTGAGAAGGAAGGAAGAATAATACGTAGCATGTCTTAAAGTGAATCTCCCAGGACCATCTCTCAGTTTTGCGTCTATCTGATTGTACATCAAGTCCATCCATTAGGTCTAAGTTTAGCCAAAGCAAATAAGTCAATGTAGTGTTTTTAGAACAGTGTGTATCCTATAAAGGTGGAGCATATCCGGATTTGGAATAGACAAGTACACAAATTAACGCCAGATTCTCCAGACATGAGAAACCCGTATTCAAGAATATTTACAAAAGATCCCCAGGGACACCAAAAAAAGACTATTTTCCCTGAAATGTATTAATTTCTAAATTGTTACCTCAACATTCTATGAAATTACGGACATGAACTCTCTCAAAAGGGTAACTGGTCAGAACATTTGCAAATTAATAGGCTAACAACCAACTACTAAATCCACATTACAGATATTTTTCTTGACCCACATCTACCCCTTGTTTAATAAGAAGCAGCATTTGTAAAGAAATGAAAATATGTCCAGATAATATAAATAACAGTTACTGTGGGAGGAAGGTGGAAGGGGGAAGTGGGGCTCCTGTACACTTGCTTTTTAGAAGGGGGGCATTAGATCCCAGAATCTATGAAGGATCATTGACAAAGTTTCAAAAGGAAGATACCTAAGTCAAAACCGTATTTTTAGAAGATCACTCAGCACAGTGAAGGACAGACAGGGCTGAGAGGGCATGGGATAGAGACAAGTGGTCAGGAGACCTACTAGGGGGTTTTCTCAGTTGTCGAGGTGAGACATGAGAAGTCTAAGCCAGCGGCGGTAGAGATAGAGGAGAAGTGAAAATGTGAGAAGTATTCAGGCATAGTGGCTGATGCACTGTGATGGCAAAGTGAAGAAGAAGCCAGGGCAACCTGGGCAAACTTTTAAGTAAAGCATGGAGGTGGCCAGCTCCAGGGCCGCCTACTGGGATGCCCCTGAGCAGGACACTCTCATTCCGGGTCCCTCTCCATGGGTGACCATGTACATCCTGAATTCGGACAGGCCATTCCCTCCGCCAGAGCCTTCTCAGACTTCTCCCACTCCAGTCTGGGTCCTTTGTTTTCCCATAGGACGGACATAACTCTGCCTTCATACCTATCACCTCATTTAAAAATTTGCTGTTTAAAATATCTGAAAAGGATTCATGTTTATTTTGTCAAATTGAAAGAACACAGTAATACACAGAAGTTGTCCCCTCCACACACACACACCTTCTGCCTAAAGGAGACCAGAGCTAAAAATCTGGTGTGACTCTTGCATAAATTTGTTCCCCTTTCTTCATGATCATTATTTTAGGTACTATGTTCCTATGATACAGATTTTTCCACAACATGAGTTTGTCATCTAACAATATATCCCAGACAGTTGTCAGCACATTCAGATTTACTTCATTCACCTTAATGCTGTACAACATTCCAGGGTATGTATATAACAATGATTTAACCATTCTCCTGCCAATGAGCTTTTTCAACATTTTGCTACTAGAACAAGGTTGAAATTACCATCCTTGCCAATTATCTTTTCATCTGTGTCTAGGTATTTCTATAGGAAAGATTCTCAGATGGGATGAAGAGGGCAAAAGTATGACCATTGTTTTTTGAAAACTTTTTACAAATCTATACTCCCCTGAAGAGTGTATTAAGAACATAACAAGGCATTCTAATGACCTGTTTACTGTCTGACTTTCCCATCCAACAATGAAAAACACCTCAAGGGCAGGGAACTCCAACTGCTTCTTCACTATTCTTTCTTACCACCTAGTTCACAGCCAGAGTCATAACAACCACTTAACACAAAAATATTTGTTGCTCAAACAAATAATACTTACCTTGCAAAATTGTTGTGAGGATTGAGGATCATACGTGTAAAGATATGTAAAGAGCTTAGCCTGGCACAAGCAGGGAATGAATGAATAATTGAAGAAGGAGCCCATTATCAAAATTAAATATTAAATATGAGAAAGAATTACCTATCTCCTCAAATCTAGAAACAGTATACATAGTGACAACCCCCCTCCATCAAATTTTCCCCCCAATGGTGATAATTTAGTTTGAGCGCTTTATTTTTACCATCCCCATTAGTCAGTTAAAAAGTCATAAAATAAAAGTTTCCAAAAAGAGAACTGTACATTAATAAAGCTACACATTTTAACCATTCTCTTTATGAGACCTTCTAGAAAATTCTTACTTTCTACTTATCCAGCACATTCATGCTGTTGATAATGTAATTTGTAATTAAAACAAGTCATCCATGCAGAAGCAGTATGTTACAGCTACCTCTACATTCCTGAGTTAAGGAAGCTATGGCCATAAACAATAACAGAGAGAACCATTGGGATTAGCACACAGGTCTGCCAAAAAGTGCTAATTAATTGTGGATTTATCTCCTTGAGTTCTCTATCCTGAAGTTTTACCTCTTAGACCTCTCCCTGATCCAATGGAAAGGCTATTAATAAGTTTCATGAACAAGGAGCTGAATTCAATAGGAGTTCCTTGCGAAGTGACCTTACAGGGAGGTGGGCTCTGCAAGGCAATCCGGGCGCTGTCGGCTTGAATCCTAAGTGCAAGACAAGCTTAGTAGTTCAAGAAAGCATTGCAGCACCACAGCATGAAGTTACCATCCAGCACCTGAAGCTAGAG